CCCATCTATCTATCTATCTATCTATCTATCTATCTATCTATCTATCTATCTATCTATCTATCTATCTAATCTATATCTAAATATAGAATTTATACTTTGCAGATTTTCATCTATCGTGGGAGTGTCTGGAATGTAACCCCCGCGATAGCTGAGGCACTAATGTAATTTATAGCAAAAACATTATCACATAGCCTTCATCTCACTAAAGTTGTGTTCTGTAAAGTTTGTTGGCTCCTTGGTAAATGACCTGATGTGTGTACCTGGGGGTTCCTGAGTTAGATTCCGTTTGCAGTTAATGAAGCAGCCACATGGCATGTGGATCCAGCGCTCCGACAGCACAAAGAGGGGAGTGACCGCAGGTGCAAGCAGAGTGAGGAAGAAGCTCAGCGTCTCCAGGGAGGAGCTGCGTACGTTCACCGCATGCCTTATGAGTACCAAAGTCTGTGAGTGAACAGGAGAAGATGAAATTAATTCACTCGGGAGTCGGCTATTCAAAATGCATGAGGGCACGAAGCAAGAAACACATAGACGAGAAAAAGATCTGAACCTTCACAGAGAATGGGCTTCTTCACTTTTCATTTCCTTTTGTTTTGGATTTGAAAACTGAAAAAAAAAAAAAAGAAGTCTCACACTCTGATATTTTATGATTATGTCTGGCATTCCCCGTGGCAATGTTTTGATAACTTTATACAAGATTTTTTTTTTTTTTTCCCCAACTGGAGCTGAAACAATTTTTATTCAGGCTCTTGTATTGAATTGAGGAAAGTTAAGCTGATGCATGACTTTATATTCATATTCACATCCTAACAATTCTGAAAGTCTGCACTCTGTGGCGACCAGTTTGTAATGAAACAAGGTCCAATATTAATTAAAAAATAAAAAATAAATGTCGCCCACCAGTTGTCATGTCTGAGTTTTACCTAAAATTAACTTATAATGAGAAATGACAGAACTGAAGACATTTTATCCAAACTTTGAAAATACCTTCATGACATCTCTAAAGTTGCCAGGCTTACAGTTATGTTTGTGTTTCTGTTGGCTGTGGTGGCCATCTTGATTTGGGATAATCCAAAAAGTTAATGTTTTGTTGATCTCAGCCCATTGATAACATTCTGAAAGTTTCATTAAATCTCTCTGGGATTCATGAGCTATTTTGTTAACAATCAGACGGATTGCCATTAGTTAATATCAAAAATTTAAAACCATATTTTATATTAATATTTAAACCTTAAATCTGTCTTAGACACTGAATTTTAGCTCCATATTTGTAAAAGTAACCAAGTTATAACAAGTTTTGTGTTTAATAAAACTACTTTGTTGTAGCGGCCATCTTGGACGGGGTTAACTTCAAAAGATAGTCAGTTATACGTATTGACTCAATTATTATTTTCATTACAATCAGTCAGTAATTCATGATATATTTTGTTAACAGTACAGACAAACACATACACAGAAATGGGAGAAATCATTATCACCCTTTTGCCTGCAGCTGCATGGAATAAAAATTGCGCAATCACTGAAATACTCTTTAACAATGTGAGCCCAAAGAATCCTGCTGATATCACAATGTATACTTTAGTTTAAAAAAAATGGTAATTAGTCTGTTTTTGGACATATAGCATCACTGAACCATACCCAGATCAACTGACACAACCCCAAATCATGATACTACCACCGCAAGATAGCCTGACTGGCCCATAGCAAGTATGGTGCAGGACTTTTGCTGCTTGTCTGGTTATCTCTCTGATGAAGGTAAAGACTTGTCACACTGTTTGACCTTCTTCCACTGTTTCAGAGTCCATATTATTTAATACATTTCTTTTAAACAAGCTTCACAGATGTTTTCTAAAGGCTACACATCTATTTAGTCCCAAAACTTTGAGTTGTGCTCTCATTGCTTTGATAAAAAGGCTTTTTCCTGCTCAGCATGACTTCTAGAGTGTTAGCGTTTAGATGTTCATTTTATTTAACTAATATATATATATATATATATATATATATATATATATATATATATATATATATATATACATATGTATATATATATTTTTTTTTTTCAATTATTATTATTTTTTTAAACCTTAAGTATTTTAATCGAGCTTTTCAGCTGTTTTGTTTGCTTTATGCAGACTTACAATTCGACCCTTTTCATCCTCTGCAGAGAGCTCTCTGACATCGCTCTTGAATGAGTCAGAAGCTGTTTACTTCATCCTAAATAACTTTTTGGCAGCTTGAAAACATTAATTAGTGTGCTGCTTTTACTTTGAAAAACTATTTGCTTAGTTAAATCCAGGCAAGGGCTTCTTCTTTTTTTTTGGCCAGGCATCACAGATTGTCTTAATCTTAGCCAAATTAAGACCAGAACAGATGCATTTAGATGCATCACTTTACTGTTCCAGAAAATATTATTGAAATATTCTCTGTTTATTATTATTATTTGGCTATTTGAAAGCTTATCTTAAAATGAATGCAACCCCAGTTCCAAAAAAAGTTGGTACGTTGTCTAAAATGTAAACAAGAACAGCATGCATATTCACAATGGAACATACTAAACTATATGTTTAAACAAAAAAAAACTGTATCATTTTAAACAAGCAAGATGATCTTGAAATTTAAAGTAAAGTAAAATGCTGTTGTCATCGTTGTATGTTCTCATACAATGATAAAATTATTGCTCTGCTTTTAATCATCACGTGAGATGTGGGCAGCTATTTAAGCACCTGGGGAGCAATTAGGGATTAGGTGTCATCTTTAATAGCACATTTGCTAACACATTTTCATAATTGGGACTTATTATAGTATAGTCTCCATCCTTTCATACTCATGTCAGTAAACTTTCTCATCCAACCCAGAACTTCTGATTCGCTCAGGATAATGTCCAAAAGATTAATGCATCCTCATGAAGTGCTGAGCAACCCTTTCCATCACCACCACTTCAAGGTTATGTTCACATATTAAGGTCAAATATTATACAAAGTCTTTGCTTGCCCAAGCCTTTGCTATAGATTTCTGTATCACTGTATGATTGTTGATGGGTGTATAAAGTGCTGTACGTGGTATTCTTGTAAAAAAAAAAAAATTTGGGCCGGGGCAAAAATTTTCACTGTGAAGCATCCTCCCCCTCTGTAAATGTCAAGGACCTGAGGTGACCAGCTGCTCAAGTTGAATGTCGTCCCATTTTTGTTTGATATATTCTGGCTCAGAGCTATTCGACTGGTGACATGAAGGCCACTTCCAGCCTGCGGGTGACTTCAGTTTGGCACACCAATGAGTTCATGAAAAAAGGGTTTTGTTTATTGGATTTATGATTCAATGCAATAAAACAAATTTAAACGGTAACAGATCATTGTAATACTTGGTTTATTTACATATTGACTGGCCCTTTTGTTGAATAGCCCTGTTCTAGCTGTTCAACAGTCCCAGGTCTTCTTTGCTGCATTTTTTTTGTCTCATCATGATGCATCCAATATTTTGAATTTGTGAGCTGTCTGGATGCAGGCAGGCCAGTCCAGCTCCTGAGCTCTCCTACTACAAAGCCATGCTGTTGTAATAGGTGCAGTTTGAGATTTAGCACGTTCTGGCTGAAATATGCCTTCCCTGAAAAAGACATTATCTGGATGGGAGTATATGATGCTGAAAAATCAGTATGTGTGACTGGTGCTGGCAAAATGAGTTGGAATAATCACAAGCTGCAGTGCAAATAACCAAGAAAATGATTTATTTTTGCCATTATTCAGATTTGCATAAAAAAAATAACCCATAAGGACACAATCTAGTAGTCCTGGTGATAAAAATAGATTATAATTGTCCTAATCTACATTTAAATCAAAGTTTTCTAACAGGTATGTCTTCAGAAAGAATTTGTTGTCTTGTAAACCTTAGACTTTCTGTTGAAACTGACCATTTTCCCAGCCAGCTGCAGTGACTCTGCGACATACTGTAGCTTTGTTTCATGTCACTGTGAAGCTCGAGAATTCCCTTTTTTAAATATAGACCTGGAATGCCTGATAACATCACTCCAGACCAATAAAAACTGAGTTTTCAATCATGCACTCTCATAAATTAAACTATCTTTTTGCCAGGTGATACGCTGTATCACATTTTGAAGCTTTGAGATGGAGATATTGAAAAAGATGATAAATGAATATGGAAAAATTCCTCATTGTGACTCATTTTGCCAGCACGTGTCACAGATAGTGTTCTGCACTGATCGTGCTTTTTCAGATGTTTGAGCTGTCCACTCCAGAGGCACTAACTCATCCCCATACCATCAGAGAGGCAGGCTTTTGAACTGTGCGCTGATAACAGAGCAGATGGTCCCTCTCCTCTTTAGGATGGAGAATGTGGAGTCCGTGGTTTCCAACATGAATTTAAAACTGAATTTGTTTGACCACAGAACAGTGTTCCACTTCGTCTCTGTCTGTTTTAAATGAGCTTTTAACCAAAAGAAGATGGCAGAATTTCTGGATGGTGTTCACACATGGCTTCTTCTCTGCATGATAGAGCTTTAGAGAGACTTGTTCATACAATGATGTGCAGTGGTGTTCCTGAGCCCATGCTGTGATGATCCAAAGAGAATCAGAGCTGTTTTCATGCAGCGGAGGCCTGAAGATCGTACGACCACATTACTGACTTTCAGCCTTCTCCTTTGTCGACAAAGATTTCTCCAGATTTTTGAAAACTTTTTGATATTACAAGCTGTAGCTTATGGGATAATCAAAGTCTGTGGAATTTCCCTTTAAAGAGCGTCCATCCTTATTATTATTTTTTTTTTACCCACTTCTTCTTCTCTCTTGGTCGTGGGGATTGGATGTCTATCATCAGTCACTGTTAGAGAGGCGGGGGACAACCTGGACAGGATGCTAGTCCGTCACAGTAGAGACAAATAAGACAAACAACCATTCACACACAATTTATTGTAATTAATTAATCTAACATGCATTTTTTTAATATGTGGGAGGAAACCAGAGTACTCCATGTAAAATGGGGGGATCATGCAACCTCTATACGGAAAGGCCAGGAGGCAAACCGGAGCACTTCTTGCTGTGAGGCAACAGCTCTAACCACGTCACCACTGCGTTCCCCCCTTTTAAGGAACATAATTTAAAACTGTTCTATTAACTTTACAGATTCTCTCCATTTTTACTTCTGAGAGATTCAGCCTCTCTAAAATGCTCTTTTTACACCACTTGCTTTTACACCTTTATGCTGCCCCTGGCTGAACGCTTAAGTGTTGCTGCCATCAAATTCAAAAATCACCTTATTTATTTTCCTAACAGTCGCACAGTGTCCAGGTCTAAACATCTGATAGGTTTTCTGTGTTCCATAGGAAGTACAATATGAGGTTCTGACATGTGCAAATCCTTGGCTTTTTGTTAAATTTACACGTCACAATTTTTTCAGAACTGGTTGTAGGACGTCATGACAGCCTTAAAACTTTACAGACAAACCAAAATTTCCCATTATTTATTTATTTTTATCTCAATGACGACTAAGATAATTCACTTTCATGAAAAATGTGTATTTACGGCATTTCTGATCAGCTACATTAGAACTTTTTTTTTGTTTTTTACCATGTCTGACGTTTGATAAATTCCATATTGGCTCATTATGGTGTTTAGATTATCACCTCGAGTTTATTACTTTATTTTCTCAGTAATAATAATAATAATAATCAAGTGGCACTGTCTGTGCAGCGCAAACGCTAGTTACCCCACAATGCAGCCTAATGAATGCAGCCCAGAGGTGTTCATTAAAACCTGCAAACTGGTTCTGAAGTGTTTTTGGGGATTCTAATTTGACAAAACATTAGTGCTACATTATTAAAAGCTCGTGTTTTCATGTGCCGCTGCTTAGCAAGTTAAGAAGAAATAAAAATTTCACACTTTCAGATGTAATATGGTTGTGTTTCGCAAAACTGTGTCAAGGAACAAAAGGGGCCTTCCTAATGGGTTTTGGATCTGAAAATTGAGTTGTATGATTTTATTCATGTTTTTATTTATTTATTTGCTTCTTCATTTGTTATTGTCTGCAGCCTGAAAGGAGGGCAATTAATTTATTTGCCTGTAAGTTTGTGTGCGTTCCGCTGTCTACTGTTAGCAAAATATTTCATGAACCAGTGGGTGTTTAAACGAAACTGGATGTACATCCACAACTGATGAACTTTTGAACGCAAACCAATCCAAGATGGCCGCCACAGTTGGATGAAGCTTAGTTTACACAAAAATGGCCACAACTCAGTCAATTTAATAGAACACACTAAAAATTAATGTGGTCAAAGATGAGCACCGTCCTGAACACATGCTGTGAGTGATGGATTTGTATTAAACTTTAACAATTATAATTGAGACAACCTCAGTTTGTCTGTTGGCAAAATATCTCATGAACCAATTGATGGATTTCACTGAAACTCTCAGAAAGTAATAATTTGCTTCACATGTACGAATGATTACCTTTTTGGAGTCAACCGAATTAAAAATGGCCTCCATAGCTAATCACCAGGTCTCTCTTGTAAATGAGTCTCCGAGGCTCCAAGATGAACCCAAATAAAGGTTGAATGAATGAATAATTCTTAACCTTTTCAAAACTGGCAATGCCTCAGTGGGTTTTACATACATTGAAGTAAAATTTGGTGTGGTGAGAATTATTCACAACAGAATATACTCTAAGCACATTTTTAAGGTTTGACCAAACAGTGAGTTTGCTTTTCTTTTTAATTTAAGACGATAGATTTAATTTAATAAAACTCATGGGATTGTTCCATAGAAGGACATTAAATTTGGAAAGTGAAAGAACTGTTGGTTTATTTGAATTCAAACTGGTGCAAAGAGACAATTTATTTATTTATTTATTTTTATTTATTTATTTTTTACTGTTAAGCTGTTTGGTAGACGTGCACAGATGGCACATCCTCCTCCCCTTCATAGCCATTCTGGGCAAAAAAAAATAAATAAATAAATAAAAGGAGCCAAACAGTTCTGCTCCAAACCTAAAAGAATAAACAGTTAAAGCAAGTCAAGTTAAATATTCGTTTGAATGGATTTAAAAAAAAAAAAAAGTGTGTAGTTTTATTTATTTATTTTCTGATATTCTGGCTCCTTACCATCATTGGCATCCATAAAACCACTCGGACCACAGCCAGAATCATGGAGAAGCGCTTCTGCGCGAACACCACCGGCGTGTCTCCAACAGCCGCAGCTGTCCTCTGTCCACCCCGGGACACCGGGGACACACAGCTGTCCTCCTTCTCCCTCATCTCCGTCCCGCTCGAACTCGGGCTCAGCTCGTTGTACGCGCCCAAACTTTTGTGCAGGCTGTCCCGGGAGAAGGACTGGAGGTCGCAGAGGGGCGCGGAGCCACTCAGTCCCCGGGACACGTCCAGGCAGCTCGGGTACAGCAGGCTCCTCTGGGGCTCTCTGGAGCACAGCAACTGGTAGGTGAGCGGGGTGAAGAAGAAGAGGGACCCGCAGAAGCACAGGGAGTACAGGGAGAAGAGCAGCAGCACGTAGAAGCTGTCGCTCTCCGGGAAACACCCGAGAGATGCGCGCGTGAAGCTTCCCCATCCGCACAGAGGCAGCGCGCTGACCGCCAGGCTCACCGCCCACACGCCCGCGACAGCCCACAGAACCCCGAGGGGCCGGCGTGCGGACTGGAGCACCCCGAACCTCTTGGTGACATAGAAAGTGTAGGCTGCGATGAGGCAAGCCTTCATGTTGCTGGAGAGCCCCTGGAACACGTACAGAAGTCCCGACAAAGTGCACAGGAGGCGCGACCCCTCACCTGCGGGGGTCTCCCACTGGAGGAGCATGAACAAGGAGAGGGGCACCACACTGAGCAGGTCGTCCACAGACATGGAAGCCACGATGACACACAGGGAGGTCTTCCTCCTCATCCGGAGGAGAGAGAGCAGTGAATACACTCCTCCGACTGAGGTCGCGGCGGCGATGGTTACGCACAAGGCGAAGAGCAGGAGGCGCGTGTGCCTCTCCATCCCGGAGGGGTCCGCCGTGTCCGCGCTGCCTGGGGACGGATAGCTCTGGTTGGGCGCAGTGGACATCTTCAGTTTGGACACTTGTGATCGATCCAAACCAGGCTCAGTTGCTTGTAAAGTTGCTCCATACGCTGCGTGTAAACACGCGCCAGAATAAAACAAGAAATCAGAGTTGCAGAGATAGGGGAGAGAAAAAGCGCGCCCCTGTCTGATCCATCTGAGCACGCACGAAGCTTCCCTGTCCTCTGGCTGACGTGGAGCTGGCTGGGACCGTGTTGGCTGGCAGGCACTTGTGTTCACCGTTCAAACCAGAGCATCTCTGGTTTCCAGCAGCCGATTTACGCGCTGTCGTCATCACCGTTCCCCTTCCACGGCTCAGCCACTCAGGGGCTGAGCCAAACGCATCTCGTGCGTGTGGATGTGGACCAATTCATCAGGCTGTTTTAGAGCCTTCTAACACACCTCCCACTGGAACTTCCTCCTGCGTGAGTGGCATTTTGTCACCCGTGTTAGCAAAAATAATAATAATAAAATTTTATAAAAAAAAGTTGTCTGTTCTGTAAAAACGACTTTTGCTTCAGAAGAGCAATAACATTTTATGGTTAAAATGGAACTCAGATCTTTTGGAGTGGAGCTCTGTAGGAACATTATGAACAGTTAGTATTTTACCTGTTGCAGATAACTCTTCGATTGACCAGTTGAGAGGAAAAGAATCAAGCAGTTTCTTACCTGCATGGGCCAACCAGAACTGCTCGAGTTAGAGACAGGAGTCCCGTTAGGCTCTATACTCAGAACAGTAAATATTTGCACTCCTGCTTGTTTCTTTCTTATCAGGACACTAAAACTTTTGACCTTAACCAGGAGTAAATGAAATTTACAATATTCACGAGTAAACAGAACATAGAAACACATGCACCACTTTACAATGACTCCCCTTATAGATGTCCAACAAATAGCTTATAGATACATTATTCATTCCTCTATAGACACATGATAAATCATTAATAATTGTTTATTATGCATTACTTACGGGTGACAGAGAGACAAAATTGACCAGTTTCTTGCCAAATAGTGAGCCAAATTTGTTCACCTATATATTTAATCTAGAATTGTTATATTAAACATTTCAGACTAAGTTACTACCTTGTAAGCATTTGTAAACCTGTTTTTTTAGGATATAATATTAGTTGTAGATAGTTATAATGCAGTGATAAAATACAATATTATATGTTAAAGAAATAGGTTTACAAATGCTTATTGTGCTTACAAGGTAGTAACTTAGTTTGAATGTTTAATATAACAACTCTAGATAAAATTATGAACAAAATTGGCTCACTATTTGGCAAAAACACTGGTCAGTTTTGTCTGTCACCCTTAATTAATACATAATAAGCAGTTATTAATGATTGACGCATCTATTAACTATTCATTAGCGAGGGAGCCTTATTGTACTGAAACATAATGTTAATTTTTTCTCATGATGTAAATTCTGATGTTCTGAACTTCCCTTTTTCTAGATGGGCTTTGCATTGTAGGATGATATCTCTTAACCTAGGTGTTTTTTCTCCTCTTAAAAATGCAAGAACAAGATGCCACATTTTTTAAAAATTGATTCAAAGATACCTAAAACCAACAAATAAAGGATAAAAAGCTCCAAAACTTCAGACTATCTATAGGCCAAGGGTGTTAAACTCACTTACAAAAGAGGGCCAAATTAAAACCTTTTTCAAACCAGGGGCCAATTTCAGAAACTACATTAACTCAAATCAGATACCCAGCATCTTTTCTTGGTCACTGGTTCCTCAACAAGAGTTTGATTGGTCTCATTTCATGTTCTCTGTTGTGGTTTTGACATCATAATCAAAGTTTTCTGAAAAAAATTCAAGAGATAGAAGTAATTTATTTTTCACATATCATCTTGGGGGCCAGATAAGATGTCTACGAGGGCCACATTTGGCCCCTGGGCCTTGAGTTTGACACATATGATCTAGGCAAAGATTATTCCAAAAGCATCAGCATCAGAATGCACAAAAAAAAAACAAAAAAAAAACAATACTTACCATCTTGTAACCACACATCGTTGACTGGTCAACGTCTTCAGTAATTGCTACAATTTGTCAAATGTTTCTGTGCAATGACAAAGAAATAAACACCATTTTGTGTTTTTAACATGGAAATGGACTTCCGAGCTGGACTTCCATTACTGATTCATGGCCTTGGTTGGCTCATGCACATTCATTCAACCTTTATTTTTACATGTTAATCCCATTGAGCATCAGAGACTCATTTACAAGAGAGACCTGATAACAAATAAGAACTGTACCATTCATGCATTGTGACCATATGAACAAGGGTTACAGGGTCAAGAACAAAAATGATGTGGTCTTCAAACCACATCAATCACAAAAAAAAAAAAAAAAAAAAATTCATGTGAACACTATTTTATGAGCCTTTGCATTGCCGTCACTTTTGTGTTACAGTTATTTTCACAGGAATCTGGTCCGTTGTAAGAGTGCCTACAAGTAATATTTCTTCTGGTGTAACCTGGTGCCCCTTTTTCCAAAATACTTATCTAAGTACAACAAAACTGACAACTGTCCCAAGGCTTATAAAACAGTGTTCACATGAGCACCCATTTCAAATGTTTTCAGCCATTAAATAGCCATTATTAGTTGTTATCATCCCCATAGGTTACATTCAGACTGTCCCTCCTGTACCTCCTAGTAGGTTTAAAGGTACATTCTTATAGCTGATAATAGGAAAGCCCTTTTGCCTAGTTCAGTCCTCATTGAGGGAACACTGCAGGTAATAATGTCCTGAGAGCGCACTCCGTAGCTGCACTCACGCAGAGACATGTAGGAGGAGATGTATGAAGGCAACAGACCAAGAAGTGATTTAAAGATGAAAATGTACCAGTGAGAGAGTCTGCGTGAAGTTAATGATGACCAGTTAACCAGTGAATACAGTGTGCAGTGGTGGGTACGATAATCACAGCCAGTTATGAATCTTAGTGCACCATGATAGACAGCATCCAACATCTGCAGGGTTCTTGTAGGAGCGTTCATGTAAATAATGTCACCATAATCAATGGAGGGAAGGAAAGTCACAGATACAAGGCGTTTTCTAGCATTGAGAGTTAGACAGGATCTGTTTCTGAAAAAGAAACCCAGTTTAACTTTCAGTTTCTTTACCAAGTTTTCCACATGGAGCTTAAAAGAAAGATGTGAGTCGACCAAGATACCCAAATATTTATAGGAATCAACAAACTCAATGGGGACACCATTTGAGGATTAAATCGGAGGAAGAACTGGTGGGACCAACTTCCTATTTGAAAAGGTCGATGCTTTGGGTCAGGTGTATGGTCAGGTTTAGGAAAAGGGTTAAATTAAGCTAACAAAAAAAACTTCCGGTTTTAGATGTGCACAAAGCTGCACATTATCAGCGACAGCTGCAAAGTTGCATTTTATCAGCAATAAGAATGTTACTTTTAAACCTACTAGGAGGGAGAGATTCTGAACACAACCTATGGGGATGATATCAATTAATAACGGCCATTTAATGAGCTGATAACATTCAAAGCCCTGACATGAACCACTATGAAATATCTGAAAATGCACTATTTAGCATATTTTAATATCACTTTAGTTAATTTGTTTTGGGATTGTTTATGAGTTAGGTGGAATAAGGAAGAGACTAAAATTTGAAGGCAAACATGAATTATTTATGAGCTCATCATCTCTTGATCACGTGATGCAGGTCAGCACACAGCATATATTTATCTATGCAGTTAATTTTAAAGCCATAAAACTAAGGGTAATGAAGAGTGTACAGTCAAAGACATTAACCTTGTCTCACCCAGCCAAATAGGAGTTGTCCTACAGAAGTACATCATAATCTTGTTTGTCACAGAGTCGTAGCACCTAATGAATTATTAAGCAGTAATTAATCAGTCTGATGTTTGTGTTAGCTGTAGGTTAAATAGGGATGATGCTCGAAGATACGGCCAACCACATAAAACCATTAAAAGTCTGCCTGGGAGGGCTTCAGAGAGTGTCTCTATAGTGCACGTAAATCCTTGTCTCAGCTCTCCCTGTGGTGTTCAAGGATTTTCAGGCTGAAGGACTCCTCCGTTTGCTCGACTGGTTCATGGGTGTTCATTTACCGTCATGAGGTCCAAAGTCACTCTCAGCATGATTTGTTTATCAAGAGGTTTCTGGATGCATTTGAGCTGTCTAAAGCCAGACAAATGTATTTACAGTCCATGTGTAGTGCCATTATCTGTAGACGTGCATCTGTTTCAGCCTTATAGCATGCAATGATGTGAGTGCACTTGATCTCAGGTTTTAAAATTACATTTTGAATTAAGCTAAGTGACTTGCAGCTGGTCTAATGACTCAACACCATCCAAGGCCATGAGGACACAGAGAGGAACGTGAGGGGACGAAAACAAAAACCCACAAGGGTGAAAATAAGCGCATGCAAACATAGATGCAGAGGCTGACATACATCAAGGTGACCTACTTTGTGTGAACGTGTGTGTGTGTGTGTGTGTGTGTGTGTGCCTACGTGTGCTGCATGCAGAGTTTGTTCATGTGTGCACAAAGGTGAGAGTGCAGATATTCACAGACGTGCACTAGGGTGGAACCGAGTAAAAGTAATAAAACTATATACAGTATGTTGGAAAATATGTCAAGTCAAGGTTCTTTACTGTCATTCGCATCTCATGTGGTACATGAGGTGGAACAAAATTGTGTACACAGGGTCCCAGTTACATCAAACAATATAAAAAATATAAAGTGTACAAAGAAACAGTATATAAAGATCTAAGATATAAACTAAGATGTATGCTAAACAAATGCCCAACGGTATGCTAAAAGATCAAAGACATACTCTAGTCACTAAGAGTGCAAAACAGTACACAGAACAACAGCAGCACAATTCTCATAGTTCGACTTGGCTATACCAAAGCATGCAACAAATATACAGAAACAAGGTGCCAAAAGTAAAAAAATAAAATAAATAAATATACAGCAGCATGGTCCTATTGGCCGAATGGTTCTGATGGCAGTGAGGTTATCTTAGCAACATGGTCCAGTTAGCAGCATGGTATTGTTAGCGGTGTAGTTTGGTTAGCAGTGTGATCTTGTTAGCAGGTCCCATCAGCAGCATGATGATAGCAAGGACCGCAGCAGCTGCCCTAGACTGACCTCCAGAACCACGTCCAGCAAACAGAGCACATCCAATGTTTCCCCGTGGAACTGAACGGGTCCGTAGAGTTCGGTCCATGCAGGCAGAAGGAGGATCATGTAGATAGCCGCCATGACAGGCTTGAGCCTGAGGCTGGAAGGACTAAAC